GCTTCTGGGTGGTTTCCCAGTGGGTGCCGCGGGCTCCTGCGGCACCCGAGGAGAGCCCGGGGTCCGGATAGCTCACCGAGACACACCTGCATACCAGCCTGCGAGCCCCAGGCGCAGCCTGCTCTGGCTGGCCCTGGCACAGCCCCCCTGCCCGGCCCTGGCCAATCCTTCTGGACACAGCTGAAAGGGGCTGCGGCCACAGCGAGGTCCCCAGGTCCCGGCTTTGCTGGGGACAACCAGCCCTGGGGTGCTGCACCCTGGGGCCAGACCAGGAGAGATAGCGATGTCCCTGCTGCTGCTGTGCCGTGGGCCACTGGCTCTGGTGCCCCCCAGTCCCTGCTCAGAAAGCAGACCAGGGCATCCCGCTCCTGGTCCCCCTGCCCCATTACCTCCCCGCTCGCCTGGGTCCCAGCCCAGCTCCCTCCGGCTCAGGGTCCCGCCAGCCCCAGCCCTTCACCTGTGCCCAGCACCAGCAGCAACAGAAAAGCTGTGAGTGCCATGGGGCTCGTCCTGGGGGATCCTGGTGCCTCTCGGGGCTCTGCGGCAGCTTGCTCTCCTGTTGGCGTGCTCTGCAATCCGGAGATCAGGAACTGGCAGCTGGGCAGCGGCGGGAGCTTTATAGAGCACCTGGAGCAGGTGAGAAGGCCCCACCCAGCCGCCAGCCCCGGGGAAAGGGAGTCCCTCCGCCCCGCTTGGTGCAGGGCATGGGCATGCTGCCTTGCTGATGGGGTCCCCACGGCATTGTCCCCAAGGGTGGGGTCCCCCTCCCTCCCCCGGCTCAGGGAGACACCACCAGCAGCATCCCCATATCACAGGTGGACGCAGCCTCAGGTGGGGACATGGGGAAGGGGCAGCGGCTGGGCATCCCTGAGATGGGGTGGGGGGCAGCATCTACCCAGCCCCATGGGCTGAGCCACAGCCCCCAGGACCTGGTGGGGAGCACGAAGGGACGGAGCCCCCCAGCCCCTTGCTTGGGGGTGGGGGCTTATCCTCTGGCTCAGCCTGGGGTTAATCATTACCAGCTGGCCACTGTCTCGCCCTACCCCAAACAAACCCTGGGGTCCCCCCCCCCCCGAAATGCTTACACAGGTAGGGCCCAGGGCCCCACAAAATCCCAGTACCTCCTAGTAACCTCCCTGTCAGGTCCCAGGGCCTCCCCTAGGCACATGGGCCCCAGCAGGCACAACACCCCTATCCCACTCAGGACGTGGCCCCTGGCCCAGGCTGATGCCCCATGCCAAGCCAGATGCCGATGCTCCACGCCAGAGGTACCAGGTGCCACCCAATGCCAGGGCACAGAGCCCCCATCCTCCCCGGTGACACGTGCTCCTGGGCATGGCCGGACCGCACCAGCCTTTCTGGTCCCTCCCTGTCCCTGCCCTGCAGGAGAGCCCTGATTCCCGGGGAGGGCCCCAATTCCCGGGGAGGGCCCCAATTCCCGGGGAGGGCTTCTTGGGCTCTACTGAACTGCCACCCCAGCCATACCGGGGGGGTTTCTGAGGTGTCGGTGCAAAGGCAGCAGAGACAAGGGGACCCTCTGCGCTGCAGGAACAGCAGGGCAGGGATGGGCGGCCTGGGCATCAGCACGGGCGTGACGCGACCCAGCTGCACCCCATCCCCCGACGGGGTCCACAGCCTCGGTGCCAGGCAAGGGGAATGCGGGCAGGGCGCG